ATTAATAATATTTTTCCAAAACTCACTCCTGGTCTCAAACACTTATTTTTTTTTTTAAATGAATAAAATTACAAAACAAACATGAAAATGTAATTTTTCTTATTATTTTTTCTTTATATTTTAATTATGTTAAATGTATTTTATTTTTAAAAATAAAAATTACAGGTCTTTTATGCTTATGGGATGAGTTACCTTCTGAATTCATGGTTAAAGATTTGGAAATAAAATCTAAATATTTTCCCATTGAAGTTGATTTAAAAATGACACCGGAGGAAAAAATTCCACATATGATAAATTGGTATCAGGAAGCAGAGAACCTTTGGAAAGGGGTTTCAATTAATTTTGAAGCCCTCATGAAATTAATTAAAGAAAATGGTCCTGAGCTAAGAGATGGAACTGTGGAATTATGCAAGTAATACTCATAATATTGAAATCATTTTAAACAACTTTTATTAATAAATGAAGGGATAAAACATTTACTAAAAAAATTTATTTTACTCTAGGATGTTGGAGAAAAACAAAATTCCTGTACTCGTTTTGTCAGCTGGATTAGGCGACGTTTTAACAGAAGTATTAAAATATAATGGACTTATTGAAAATGAATACTTTCATATAGTATCAAATTTTTTCAAATTTAACGGCAAGACTATTGAGGGTTATGGATGCAGAGAAAGCGGAAATTATATTCATCCATTTAATAAAAATGGATTTGGATGCTTGCATTATTTTAAGGTTAGATTTTAAGATTTTAAGAATAGCATATAAAAAGGAAAATCATAGTTTTACTCTGGAATGGAAAAAGGATTAAGGATTGGGATTGGGTATTTAGTACGAGTTTAAAATGCCGACAAATTAGTTTATTTATGGCAATGTCGAAACAAGAGTTAAAATGGATTTTTAAATATTTTTTTTTTGTAAAAAGAAAAATTTACTTTTTCTGAATATTTCCCCGTTTGATAAAACTGTAGCTTTCAAAAGAAAAATTTAGCGAGTTTTATCCTTCAAAAATGTTGATATTATTAACTCTTTGACTTTTTTTTTTTTTAAGGTACATAAAAGTAGAGAAAACATAATATTATTGGGTGATTCATTGGGAGATGCTAAAATGGATGAAGCAGTGCCCGAATTGAAAACATCATTAAAAATCGCATTTTTATACGGATCTAATGCTTTGGTAATATAGGCTTTCTATTTAAAAAAAAAAAAAATTTATTCTAAAAAAAAAAATTAATTTTAAAATAATTTAATTTTTACAGATTAAAGAAAGTTTACCAAAATTTTTGGAATCCTTTGACATTGTTTTAATAGATGATCAATCTATGAATGTTGTAAGAGCTATTGTAGACTTAGTAATAAAACAGTAATTTATAAGCACTGAAAAAACTTTTATATTTTTCAAAAGGCAAAATATTGAACTTAAAAATTTTTCAGAAGTACTTTATAAACAATAAAGCTGTAATAAATTAAAAATTTTTTTATAATATCATTTTTTTTTCTCTCTCTTTTGTAATTTGTACCTAAAATTTTTTAAATGCTGCGGCATTAAATCAAATGTTACAATCATTATATTTGTAAATTTATAAAAACCGATAAATTTATAATTTTCTATCATTAAAAATTTTAATAAACCAGAATAAAATATACGTTTGATAACTACGTCAGCATTGTTTTGGCGGAATTTTTTTTTTAAATGGCTGAAAATTGTAAAAAATTAAAATTTTGCCCTTATACTCTTTCAATAATAATAAAAGAATAATTTAAATACCTAATAAATACCTAATTTTCATAAATTTTTATTTATTTTTTTTCTCGTGGTAACTTTTTAAATTTAATTTTAAAAAAATAAAAGGATTCAAAGCACATTTCAGAATTTTTAATTATTTCTTACACGCTTCGTGTAATAGAAAATTGTTCTATTATTTTTTAAACGAAGAATAATTATTACAATAGAAATTAAAAATTTTTGAATTTAATTGGGGGGGAATAACTGCGACAAAACTCAAAACAACAATTAAATTAAAAATTTATGAAAAATGTTGAATCACGACGTTTTTTTATGTAATCATAAGTAATTTTATTTTTCCATAGAAAATTTTTAAAATTTTCTTTTATCGCACATTGCATAAAATAATTCGTTAAAAGGAAATTTGTGTTTGTCTATGTACATGTTTATTTTCGGATGACGTCACCTAGAGTAATGTTGTGGAAGTGTAGGTGTGAGCTGTGTAATTTTTTTTAAAAATCAAAATGACTGAAACTCTGCATTGTTTTGTGGTGTTGTGAATAAAAAGAAAGTTTAGTTTCGGATGGCCGTGCCTTATAAATAAAATAATTCGTTTAGTGTAACATTCAAAAAGGTTTTTTTGTACAAAAAATCTTTCAAAATGGCGCATAACTTAGCACCCAGTGTCAATTGTTCTTTAGATGATATAGATTTAAACTCCTTAAAGGTATTTTAAAGAAATCATGTAAAGTAATAATATTACTTTTTTTTTAAATTAAAAAATTATTCTCTATGAATATATTTCGCCTTTTATTAAAAAGATTCTTTTCTTTGCTTCATCCATATTCTTTATCTAAACAGAAATTATTGTCAGAATGCAAGGGTTTAAGTATCCATAAATCAATTTCGATTGAATTAAATTTTTTTAAAAATATTTTCATACTAACTGTTTCATTAAACAGTCATAAGTATAATTTTTTTTTTTTTGCTTAAAATTCAACTAATGACCCATTAAATATTACTTTCTTAATCAAATTTCTTTGAAAAATTATTAATAAGAAAAACTTCAATTATATATTCAAATTGCAATAAACAAAAAAATTCTTTTTTTTTTTTAATTTTTATTCAATTTCATATTTTTCTTTAAAAAAAAATTATTTTAAATTTATGCAATATAATTATACAGTCAATGTTGGGATTATTAATCATAATTAAAATAATTTATTTAAAAAATTTTAATGTATAATTTTATAACAATTGTATTTAATATCATTTACAGCCTTTTTAAAATGTAGTTGATAGTATAAAAAAGATAATTTAAAACAATGTAAAATTGAGAAAATGTGATTAATAATTATTTTTACTCTTTAATTTATCTTTCATGATCTATTCAAGCATTGTACAGAATAAAGAAATATTTATTTTTAGAGGTGTCACAGGTAATGTTGACTAAAAGTTTGATATAAAATCGGGTGTGGCTATTTGTAGAAACTATTTAAATTGTTCTGATTTTTAAAAAAAAATCAGTTTAGTCATCATTATCATAACAAGTAGCCAGCTGGACTTTAATATGATAATTTCATATTTTTATTACACTGCAAAAAAGTCCATTGTTCAAAATTATGAACATTTCAAACAATACTATATACTACATTGAATGCATTCAGCAATTTATGATTTTATAAACAAGTATTATTATAATTAAATTTGTGATAGTGTTTCATTTCAGCAAAAAATTTTTTACAATGTAATTCATATCATATTTTTAATAGTAATATTTATATATTAATTATATTTTTTTTTTTTTTAGGACCCAGCTGGTATTTTTGAGCTGATAGAAGTGGTTGGAAATGGCACATATGGCCAAGTTTACAAGGCAAGTACCAACATTATTTTTTTTGTAAAGTATATCGTCTATTACAATCATAAAATAATAACTTAACAAAACAGTTTTTATTTTAAAGTAAAAAAAAAAAAAAAAAATTACAAAGTATTTTAGGCATTACAAAATATTAAAAACATATTTTAACCTAATAGATAATTTAGCCTACAATTATAATTTTAGGCTTAAAGGTTTTTAATATATATATATAAATTTACATAGGGTTTTGTAGTCGAAAACTCTGAGATAATAATTCGTAAATATAATTATGAGAGCAACTATATAATTTTGTTTTTAAAAATAAAAAAAAGTTTATATACTGTAATTTTCCCTAATTTCAAATTATATAATTAGGTTATATTAGGTAAATATATGTGTTCATATATAATTTAAAAATAATAAAATTTTTTTGTTTATTTTGTTATTAGTTTGTTGATTTCGTTTAAAAATTCAATTTTTATTAATGAACCTTCTTTGATTTGTATAAATCCACAAAATTGATAACTTTTTTTTCATTATATAAATCATTAGTTTGCCTAAATTTAATTTTACTTATGAATTTTAACTTTATTTTATGAGAAAAGAAAAAACAAATGATTGATATTAAAATAATTTTTTTCTGTGAACTCTGTAAATTATTAAAATAATCTTAATTATTATGTTCTGAACAATACAAAAATAAAGTTTTATTCGTTTCAATAAACTATAAATATAAATTATTAAAAAACTCACAATGCATTGAATAAAAAAATGTGTGAATGTGGCTCATTGACAAAAGACATTAACTTTTGCTATTAAGGAAATGAAAGTAATAGTATTAAATTTTTATTATTGTGTTTATTTTAATTAATTCAAATTTTTTTTTTTTTTTAAATTCTCAATACCTCGAGTTAATAATTCACTTTTTTTTTACAAAATTATAATTATTATTATTTTTGTAATTGTAGGGCCGTCACACCAAAACTGGACAATTGGCTGCTATCAAAGTAATGGATGTGACAGAAGATGAAGAGGAAGAAATAAAATTAGAAATAAATGTTTTAAAAAAATATTCCACTCACAGAAACATTGCTACTTATTATGGTGCTTTTATTAAAAAAAGCCCTCCTGGAAAAGATGATCAACTCTGGCTCGTTATGGAATATTGTGGTGCTGGGTAATGTTTTTTTTTTAAACTGAATACTATTTATTTAAAATTTTTATTTTGATGACTGTGCAACCAGCTTTCTTTTGATTGGTTGTCCATATTACTAAGTTGAGTAATTTTTATATTATTATTAAGATTTTAAAGTTATAAAAATTATTATTTTGCATAATAATTTTTACAATGCTTGAAACAATTAAAAAGTAATTATTTTGCTTTGAAAAAAAATTATACAAATTGATAACGATTTCCTGACGCTTGTAATAGTACAATTATTAGGAAATATAAAAATATTATTCATATATATGTATATATAATATACATAAGAATTTATGAAATCACACAACTGAAATTATTTAATTTTCTAAGTAATTTTGATTTTCATTTAAAATCTCTTATGCTTAATTTTTTTTTAATATTATTAGTCAGGAAAGTCGAAATTTTTGAAAAAATACTCTTTTTATTTTACTTAAAAATATTCTTACATTAGACAGAAATTTTTTTGATAAAATTATAATTTTTAAATTTTAGCGCGGTTGCTTTGTGGAATTAGAAAATTAAGAGTTTAAATTCTTTTGACACGTTTAAGAGCTGTTGGTATGTTTCCCGCCTCAGACTTTCCCATAAAAATTCCGCACTCCTGATCGAATCCTAAATCGCATCCTATTGAAAGAAAAAAAAATAGTATAATTTTTTTTTTTTAAGAAGAAAACTATGTTTCTATCTTTGATGTGCTTATTTTAATACAGTTATCATTAGATATTTTTAATAAATCCAAGGTAAGCTTTATTAAAATAGGTATTTTAATTAAACCTCACTATTATTATTATTATTATTACTTTTGAATACTTATATTTATATGAAACTTTATCAAATACTACATGCTAGGCTTGTAAATTTATAATAAGAAATCTTTTAACTGTCAAAATGATTTTTTTAGTAGTAAAACATGTGGGTTTATTAATACTCATGTTTTCAAAATCGATTCTTGTTGTATGTTCAAATCTATTTATGTCCTAACAGATTACCACTTTCCAAATTAAATACCAAAAACTCTTTAATTAAACAAATGTTTTTTTTTTTTTTTGTTTTATTAAGAAGCTTCATAAATACTTTAAATATTTTTACTATAGATGAAGTAGAATAATAATTTTTATTTGTTCATTATTGTCAGGTCTGTTACTGATTTAGTAAAATCAACTAAAGGTCAAAGTTTAAAAGAGGAATGGATTGCATATATTTGTCGTGAAATTTTAAGAGGATTGAGTTATTTACATTCAAATAAAGTAATACACAGGGATATAAAAGGTCAAAATGTATTACTTACTGATAATGCTGAAGTTAAATTGGGTATGTATTGACTACCATTAAGGTAGGAAATTAACAAAGCTTTGTAAATTTTAGTATTGCCTAAACTTAAAAATACCAGACTAACTTAAATTACATTCCAAGTTTTTTTTTATATATATTTTAAAATTATTAATTGCAGTTGATTTTGGAGTGAGTGCTCAGTTAGATAGAACAATAGGTCGTAGAAATACATTTATAGGAACTCCTTATTGGATGGCACCAGAGGTAATTGCATGTGATGAAAATCCTGATGCAACATACGACAATAGGTCAGATCTTTGGTCACTAGGTTAGTATTACCTTTTAAATAAGTGTAATTTTTTTTTCGATTATATTTATTTGAGTCAATGTATTTGTTTGTTATTGTAGGAATAACTGCATTAGAAATGGCTGAATCCCAACCTCCTTTATGTGATCTTCATCCGATGAGAGCTCTTTT